AAATCATGCTCTTTCAGAATATATAGATATCTCAAATTTTTTGAAAAATGCACTTGCGTGGTTTCGCCAGTGGCTCTGCGCTGTGCGTGGTTTCGCCAGCGGCTCTGCGCTGTGCGTGGTTTCACCAGCGGCGCTCCGCGGTGCGTGCTTTCGCCAGCGGCTGAGCTTCGTGCGTGCTTTGCATTAGGGGCAAGCGAAATGGTATTCCCACGCTGACTTAGCCTCTGGGTACCATAACTTAGAGATAGCCGAGGAGGATATCCCTAAGACTGCTATTGCGCTGCCGGACTCCCTTGGGCTGCCCTCCAGATTTCTGGAGTACACGCGCATGCCCTTCGGACTGTCCGCCGCCCCTGGTGTCTTTCAAGGTGTTACTGACCGGCTGATTCGGCCTTCGCGTCAACCAACACCTGATTGTGACCTCGGTAAGGCAAACGGTGTCTACTTGGATGACATATGTGTGGCTGGTGACGCCTTTGAACACATGCTCCAAATGACCCAGGCCTTGTTCAACCGAATCAGGGCTTCTGGCTTTTTGTTGAAAGCCAAGAAGTGTTTCCTTTTCAAAAGAAAACTCAAGTTTCTGGGATTCTGTCTGACGGAGGATGGTATCGGTGCGGATGAAGCCAAAGTGAACACCATTGTTCATTGGCCCACTCCACGTAACGTGGGAGAGCTCTGGTCCTGGATAGGACTAGTAGGCTTCTACTCTCGTTTCATTCACCGATTGGCCGAAATTCAGGCCCCTCTCACTGACCTGTTATGTGAGAAGGTACCGTTTGTCTGGTCAGATGAGTGTCAGCACGCCTTCAACACGTTGAAGGTCGCCATGACGACGGCCCCCGTCCTAGGTGCGGCCGACCCGTCTAAGGGCCCCTTCACGGTGCATTGCGACGCCTCTAGCAGAGCGGTTGCATGCATTTTGTCACAAGAGCAAGATGGCCGTTCAGTGGTTTTGCATTACCACTCGAAGAAAATGCCACGCCTGAAGCGTGCCCTGTGTGCCACACACGCAGAGCTGTACGCTTTAGTGGAGGCCACAAGAGTCTTCAGACTCTACTTGCTCGGGCGTCCCTTTGTGTTCTACACGGACCATTCAGCTTTACAGTGGTTACGCTCCTTCAAGCAATTGGAGGGGAAGTTAGCCCGCTGGATTATGCGTCTGGAGGAATTTCAATTTGAAATCCGACACATGAAAGGGAAAGAGCTGACAAATGCTGATGCGTTGTCTCGTCGCCCTGACCGTCCTTGCGCACCTGATTGCAGAACTTGCAAGCGCTTAGAGGACCAGAGTGACGCTCACCACGACGACATCAATTTTCTGGTGCGATCGTTCCAAATATACTGCACTGAATGGGACGACGATAATGTGTCAGCTGCTCAGCAGGCTGACCCTGACATCGGCCCTATTTATCAGGCAGTATTGTGTGGCCAGCGACCACATTTCCAGCAGATTGTTGGAAATAGTCAAGTCACACGGAGTCTCTGGGTGCAATTCAAATCGTTGCTTATTGAGCATGGTGTGCTCAAGCGTCGTTTTGAACACGCCTCAGGAGACCCGCAGTTCGCACGTAACCAGATCGTGGTTCCTGCTGACCGAGCGACCAACCTGGTGATACAGTACCATACTGGCCCTAGCTCTGGCTCACACTTCGGTGTCAGCAAATGCTATAAATTGCTGAGAGAGCGATTTTATTGGCCTGGTATGTACACCAAGGTGTGGGACACGGTCAACATGTGTTTACGGTGTAAACAAGTGAAAGGACCACAGGAAAAAACCCGTTCACCGATGAAAGTGTTCCGAGAAGGCACTTTGTTCGGTCGTTTCCACGTTGACTTTCTAGGACCTCTCGAGCCCTCTGACCGTTTCGGTTATCGGCACGTTATGGTCGTAGTTGAGGCATTCAGTGCTTGGCCCGAGGCGATCCCGCTGAGGACCCTCCAGGCCACCGAGGTGGCGCAAGCACTAGTTTCAGAGGTGTTCAGTCGTATGGGTGCTCCCTACGAACTGGTAACTGACCAAGGTACGACCTTTGAGTCAGCCCTCTTCAAAGAGGTCATGGCGATCTACAAGACGCACAAGTACCACATTTCCGTTGGTCGGCCCGCCGGCAATGGCAAGGTCGAGAACTACATTCGTAGTCTCACCCGCCAAATTGCTGTGCTGGCTGCCGAGCAACCCGGAAACTGGCCCGACCTCTTGCCTCATGTGCTCCATGCGTACAGAGCATCAGTCAACAACACCACCGGTTTCTCCCCCTATGAAATCCTGTACGGGCGACCCATGCGTGTCCCCCAGGACTTGCAACATGGTTTGCCGCCTCCAGGCTTACCGGCGGTTGCACTTGAGCAGTACCCTGGAGTACTGCGTGACCGTTTGAGCAGGATTCACCACTTGGTGAGGGGAAATACCGCTCGTGCGGCAGCTCGCATGAAGGCCCATTACGATAAGTTCTCGTCGATAACTTACTTCCGCCCCGGTGACCTTGTCTTGCTCTACAAGCGTAACCGTAGGCGTGGTAAGACAACCAAGCTATATGCTTCATGGCAAGGACCCTACAAAATTCTAGACATGTTGAATGATTGCATTGCTAGAATTGAGCGCGTCTGCCCGGAGAACGCCGTAACTCGCAGGCCCCGTAAGCGATTGATAGTGCATGTCGATCGCCTGGCGGCCATTGGTTCCAGCCTCGTGGACCAAAATGGCGAGTGGTTAACGTTTTGTTGACTTTGTGGCCCCTGTCCTTTTATCAGGCTCGATGTCGACCATCAAGTCACAAATCTTTGTGGCTTCGTCGTCCAGGAGCGAGGACGTCCTGGACCTCGATACACTGGGTGCGGAGATGGACGGCATGTCCCTGTCCCCGGTCCGACCCTCCCGGTCCAGATCCTCCCAGTCCCGGTCCCAGTCCCGGTCCCCTGCCCCGCGGCGCTCGGTGCATGAGCGCCTGGGTGAGCGCCAGGCTGGCGACGCCCCCGCCGCAGCCGCCTCCAGGTCGCGGCCCAACCCCAAGCGGCGTGCGAGGCAGCGTGTGGCTGCCGCCGCTGCTGCTGATGGAGAGGCTGCTGCTGGTCCATCCAGGACCAAGGCTGCGAGGAGCCAGCCCAAGGCCCCCAAGGCCGCGAAGGCCCACCCCAGGGGCCCTACCCAGGCTCCCCGGCCCGCCAAGGCCGCCAAGGCCCAGCAGAGGGCCCGGTCCAAGGCCCGAGCCCAGCAGCGCCGTGCCCAGTCGGCGCAGCAGCCCCCACAACAACCGCCCCAGCAGGACGCCAACGTCGTGAGCCAGCTAGTGGCTGGTTTCAACGCCATGCAAGGCCAGCTGCAGGCCATGCAGCAAGCGCAGCAGCAGCAGATGCAGATGCATCACGCCCCTTCCCCGTGGGCACCCATGCCCTATCCTCCTGGGCCAGGGTTTTACAACCCCTTCTATAGACATTTTTAATTATTGCATGGTGGTGTTATAGTGTACATGACACAACCCTTGTGGCGCCATAGTGTACATGTCACAACCCTTGTATGGCAGCCAAAATAAATAGTTTGGCTTCCCTACACACTTCTTTCCTTTTAAGCCCTTCCCCCGCCACATCTGCAACACCCCCTGGTCCAGCTGCAGATTCCGAGGGAGGAGGAGAATGCAAGGAGAGTATTGTTTCAATTGATTTGAAATTATTTGGGTTTAATTAAACTGCGTTCAGTTGTGTTGCAGTGAGGCACCTGTCTGACCTCAGGTGCTCTCGTCTGTCTCGGCAGAGTGGTAACACCTCCGCCGCGCAGTTAACCCTTTCTCTCCCCAGGCTCCCCTTCTCTTCCTGGCAAATTTCTGTTCGTTTTCGATTGCTGTTCCAGTCCCTGTCCCCGTCCCGTTCCTGTCCCGTTCCTGTCCCAAGTCATCAGGCTTGGCCGGCCGTCATCACAGCACCGTGACGGGTAGCACTGCAAGAGGGAGCTCTGGCCCTGTATGGAAAGGAGTCTAACTCTCCGTGCTATCGTCCTGGAGGCTGCACCGCAAGAAGGGTGGAATCGGCCCTGTATGGAGAGGAGTCCGCTGCCCCGGTGCCGCCGCCAGTCGTGACATCTCAAGACGGCCTTTGATTGAAAACATGAACGTTCTTAATTAGGTTGTCGAGCCCTCAGCTGTTTTCCTAACTACTCGCCAAATGGGGAATCGTTCCACTGGATTGGTACCTACGGAGATCCTTCTTTTTGTTTTTTGCTTTTGGGGTGGCCACACGCCTCTCATTTTTAAAGAGAGGGGAAGTTGTAATGTTAGAGTCAAGTAAAGTATTTGATCAGCAACGCTGACATTCTCATTAGTTGGTCTCTAGCGCCAGCTAGCCTCACACCAGGATCTCCGCGGGATTGTTTGAAAGCAGCGAGCGTCACTGCGCGTAGCAACAGAGCTCAGTCGTTGTGCAGTCTCGGTCGAGTGTGGTTGGTTTGTCCGCTGCTGTACCGTTCCTGCTAGACCCCAATAAATCTACTGATCCAGTACTCCTGTTGTTTCCTTTACTCAGTCTACCCGACGCTACACTACCCAATTATGCGTTTTTATGCTTTTTGGTGTTTTCTTCCTAATGTTACTGCTTCTTTAATAGTTTTTTTGCGTTTCCTTCTTAATTATGCTTATATATGCTTTTAGCGTTCACATTATTGCAAACATTAACATTGATATAGGTATGCGGTATGGAAGGAAGACCATAATTAGTTAGACTATTTCAAATGTCGGATCAAAATTTGCGGTAAAATGCGCAAATATCAAAACCAATCGCAAAATACAACCGTTTTTACGCCTTTTCCTTGCAATTATGCTCAAATTATGCGAAAATGCCTCCATGCTGCGATTTTTAGAAATTATGCTTTTTCTATGCTCTTCGGATTCGGATCCAATGGTGACAACAGTGCTAA